CTAGTCTGTTTATTTCCTTTTCTAACGAAATCTAGTGAACATGTATTTTAGTATGGGGTTTGCATGGATATCATGTGGATGACTTTATGGGGGTGATGTCACAGAAAGGGACGCGGCGAGTGTCGATCAGAAGCTCCCCCTTGGAATTGCATGAGAAGGAAAGTAACACAGGATTCTAACAAGATTAATGTTATGGATATAAATCTGTCAAAAATCAGACAATGTTCCTAATTGTTATCTAATTGTGTTGCTCGATGTATTCAAGCAACACAATTGGCATTGAATTGTTTAAAATATGTTTTAGTGGTTTGTTGTTTGTTTTTTGTCCCACTTTATCACACATTATTGATAATGCGAGGAAGGGTTTCTAACCTGCACAGATTTTTTGCTAGCAGAGTAGCCCCAATAGATAAATCTGTTATTGTTATTGTTACTTGCTGTTAATTACATTTTAATAGATTTTTTTAAAGTGATACACTTGTAATAGAATGTTTTAAATTAATAGTATAGTTTCTTAAATTAAGATATGAATATAACTTTATGACATTTCTATGAATAATATACATTTTCTTAGTCATTTCATAATGCTTTTCAAAAATTGAAATGTTGAGTTTGAGATGCATAAAGCACGGTGATAAAGGCTTTTTTTAAAAAACCCTAATACAAGCGTCCAAGATTATCAAGTGACCCAGATTTATCAGATTCAGGCAGAATCTTTTTTCTTTTTTGGCACAAGTAACACTAATGTGCCATGTCTCCTCTAAATATGATATCTCCATTCTTTCTTCTGGTGTAGTAAGAAAACATCTTAAGGATTACAGAAAGGTATCATATGTTGATCTTATCAATTGGTGAATCAATAAAAATGTATTTGTATTGCCCATATTCACAAACCACAATTTGTCTCACAGCCTAATTTGTTAAACAGATATTGGAATAAGTCGTAGAAGTCAAAATTGCAAAAATGGTCCAGATTTCACCCTGACATAAATACTGCTGATGAGTAGCAGAGGTTTGTGGTCAGACATCTTTAGTTACTCTGCAGTGTATACTATAGTGGTGGGTGTTTTCTTGTGGTAGGATTTCAGAACAACTTTTATCTGAATGGTGACATAAGATCTTGGTGAAAAGCTTTTAAAATGGATTTGGATCCTAAAAAATCAAGCCATGGATAAATTAAACCATACTCAATAGCTAATCAACAATGGCTCACCTGATCGCCTGCAGACAAACTGCTTATAATGAGTAAACCACTGTAGGTTGTACTTGCCATGGTCTGCCCAGCAAACTGGGACTATCAAATAGGCTCATGTTAGGCCCTGTTGTATTTTACTTCTATATTCTTTCTATTTGGAAGATTTAGTATCTCCTACCATGCCCTTACTTTTCTCTCATTCAATTTAAAGTCCCATGAAAGAAATGTCTTCGTTATCTTTGATTCTGATTTGAAATGTGATAAATTAAATCAGTTCTCAGCACTGGCTTCTTCCATCTTAGATCACTTCAATAAATAAAAATGATGTGTACAGGAGACTTATTGAAGACGACAGTTCCAACATTTCTTTCCTCTTGTGTGAACCGCTGCAGTTCCTTCTTTGTAAGAATCAGTCAGTCAGCCCTTTCTCACCTCCTTACTGGTACCATGAGGGAAGACCACATTTTCAATTTTACACCTTCATTGCTTACCAGAATTGATTTTAATATTCTTGTATTTGTTTTTAAACCATGGCATAGACTTGCACCAGGTCATATCTCTGATAATCCCATCCCCTATGTTGCAACCTCAGGCCCTTCCGAACTGCTGACCAATTTCTGCTGTCCATTTCACACATTCAGTTAAAAACCAAAGGTGATGGTGCATTTTCAAACTATAGCCTTATAAAATACACTGCTTCTAAAAAATATTCCCTTGCCATCCCCTGATATCTTAAAATCTTTCTAAAGGCCTAGATATTTTGTTTAGCTGCTCATATTAAATCAGCTCGATAAAGACATGCCTAGGTTTGACGAATAATTTAGTTG